CCGCAATAACCGAAATTCATCATCCCAGCAATAAAAACGAAATTCACAAAATTGCTACACTTCGGAATACACAGCACATGGGCACATGCACTGAGGCAGCTGCCAGCAGCCGGCAGGCGCGGAAGAGTCTTCACATTAACATGAAGCAACTTTTCGGCAGAGATACTCATACTCGAATGACCTAACATAAAAGCATAAAAAATTCTGCAACTAATTTATGTTCTCAAACTGCTGTGATTTCTTATGCCATCAATACAATTCACCAGGGGAATTTCTAAGTCCATGTTACATCCGAAGTATTTGTATGAAGTAGGTGGGCTTGGTGTGATAACGCCTTCCATAACTGTTATGACAGTCGGCAACAGTGAATTATAAATTTTCTTCAAAAAGAATACAAAACCGAATCTGAAAAAAAATTTTAAATAAATTTGTGGGTGTTTCTCGAAGTTGGGTGTTGCACTTAATTTGAGTTAACTTCAATCAAGGTAATTTCTATCCTGCCTTCTATTAACAGCAAAATATGGCATATTTACGTGTACGTGAGAATATGTAATCCTCACTTTGTCATAGAAGTCAGAGAACTCAACTGTGTTTATAATTTAATGTGATAATTCATAAAATAAATTGTCCTTTTTACAGGACACAGAAATTAACTACGATTTTTACGGTCAAAGTTTTCAAAAGGGAAACGTTTGCAGGGTCGCCAGAAATTTCGGGAACTAATTTTGTGTGCTCGCTTAACAATATTTATGCATGTTCATAATTTTTAAATTAAATACATTCTGAAAATTTACATTTAAATTAAATTTGTTCATATTTTCGAAGCATTAAATTGACATGTTTCATAAATAAGCATAAATATAGGCTTTATCGTTCTGCTTAAGTCCATACTCGTACGTACACTTAAAGTTAACGCTTCAAATACCAACAGGACTATTTTCCACAACAAATACTCAGTAAATTTCTTTACCCTTAGCAATAGCAGTGCAGCAATAGCGCTTTAAAGATTTTAAGCAAATGAATCTAAGCCAAAAGCTGTAAACTGTTAACTGAAAACTGAAAACCAACCCTGTTTCATGGAGCCTCAAAATAAAATGAAAACGAAATTCGGCCTTCTTTCTTGCGTAAACATTGACCTCCTACTACTCTCTTAGGTTTCAAATTAGGAAAGATATTTTACTGGCTTCGTTCAGGTTATTATTATGCAAGCTGGGTAATTTGTGAAATTTTTCGAATTTTTAATTAAGTGCGACGTACACTTTGAGAAAAAGTAAACTTTTAAGTACATACTCCTCGCTTAGCATAATACACAGCCCAGAGTACGGAGTACGGAGTACAGAATATGGAATATGAAATGCCAAGACGAAGGTGGATGGTTGCTATACAAAGTGTTTATGGGCGCAATATTTAAATAAGAAATTACCCCTTTTTGGAAATTCAATAGCGAATGTTATTACTGAAGAAAATATTTTAATTTATTGCTTCAGGTTTACAAAGCATAAAATTAATAATTTCGGTCCTGTGAATAAACTCTCAGCCAGGATAACCCAGAAGAAGCAGAGTAGCTTTTAATTTGGATTTCATTCTAGAAGTACTTTAAGTAGAAAAAAATTAAGGGCAATCTAAAGAAGAAAGGAAAAGATATGTAAGTGTGAAAAAAATTTAAGAAAATATGTAGTAGGCTTCGTTTGTACAATAATATCACGATAAATATAGAATTTAAATGTTCCTAATTGACTATAATAACCATTTTAATTCATTTATATACTTCTAAATAAAAACTAAAAATGTTATAAGAAAGAAAGCAAAAATTCTTTATTTATATAAAGATTTTTAATGTTATTATTGCCTTTGAAATTTGCCTTTTAATAGAAAATTCAAGACAGTCATTTCAGAATACTAAGCATACTATGTACATGATAGAGTCAAGAAATTCACATATCTGCTAGAACTTCCTACCTTTGGAAAGATCTCCAAATAAAAGAGACAAGACTGCATATTAGCTAGTGTACACCTACACCTTATTTACAAATACCCAGCCTAACCAAATTAAAACATTCCAATATGAAAATACAAATCTTTCAAAAATCTACTTTATCAATTGTAGAGCTCAGTTTTAATAATCGTAGTAACAATTTAATATTCATATGTATGGTAAGAAAACAGTGCATATTCGGTACTTGAACAAGAAGGGAAGCTCCGTAATCACTTAAACCTACCAACTATATTGCATTTCAAAAGTAAAACAAGAACTTTCTTATTAGTTGGCTACTACAAAAAAACTAACACTTTGAATATCTGTACTTGATCTGGAAGACTAAAATAGCAGAGAAGCGTAGGAGGGTGATGGATTCTTCTGTATATATGTAAGTCAGAGTTCTTTAGAGAATTACAAACTTTTTGCGAAATATGCAATATCAGACTGTAACACTTCAAAAAGGACTGGGCTGATTTCAAAAACTTAAGGGAGTCTAAAAAGCTTATTCAAATCCATAATAAAAATAACAAATTTCTTAATCTTAATGGGTCTGTACTTAGATTAGATGTTCTCCTATTAACTATGATTTTTGAAAGATAGGATCAAAAGACACTCTCACCTACAGATTCTGTGAAGTAAAAGTTCCGAGTAAATGTGTTGACCATATTCATTCCACCTTTATAAAACCGAATAATGATTATAATCTTAAGCCCAATGCTAACATCCATTACTTATGAAAAACTGTCAAAAACTTCATTTTAAAAAATGTTCCATAATATTCCAAGTTTCCTGGAACATTTTTCTCATATGAACTTCTATGTCAATTTTTCGTGCGCAGTGGATATTAGTATTTAGTCGTTAACCAAATTCTGATGTAACTAATATCCTTTTCAGAGATAATGTAATAGATCACAATT